CTGCACAGTGTCTTTAGATTTGATGGGTGTTGTGAAACCGCCTCCCCGGAAACACTTCCTTCCACATCTGCCTGTGTACATTCAGTTTTCAGAGAAGCCAGCAGTGTCTCAGCCACACATGCTTAAACCCTTTTCAGTAGCTTTGTGTTCCGCTGAAAGCACATGCAGCCTGGCCCTGTCCTCCTTAAGGCCCCACCTAGCTTTTGCAAGATGACAGAAGGAGACCTTGGGGCCTGGCCAGCAGTAGGGTCAAGCGAGTGAGGCGAGGTTTTAAATAAATACAAGATAGGTAAATAGTGAGCTGTAATGATGCTTGAGTTGAAAAATCAGTGAGACTGATCCTGTCTCTGTTAGAAATTTTGATCCTTTGTTGATCGTGGATTTGGGGCATTTTTTAGTTTTTTACATATTGTATTAAATACTTATCTTACTCTTGGAGTTTTTGGTGCTCCCTAAATTCTGCACCTGTGATGAGTTTCTCCTGATGTGCTTTTAATCTCTGCCCTATCTTGAGACTAGGGGTGGACTGAGGAGAAAGCTTGCGTGGCCCTCAGAGAAGGCCCCATGTTGGTGGGGCAGGGAGTTCCAGGTGTGGACTGCATGAAGTGGGGCATGGTCGCGGGTGGACACACACCTCAGCTCCAGTGTCCTTGCCTGCGCAAAGGGTAGGTTGGAGGGGGCCCACGGCAAACTCCCAGGAGCAGTGGTTCTTGGCCCCCAAACTTCCGGGCAGGCTGGTGGGGATACAGATGGCTCAGTGAGTCTGTGGCCATGAGTCTTCATTTATGAATTCGTGGGGCCTGCTGCCGAACTGAGATGCATTCTCTGAGGACCCTGCTCTCAGATCCAAGGCAGGGGGTCCTCTTGCCTGAGTACAGTGAGCTGCTGGTGGGACATGTTGGCAGGTTTTTCATGCATGGGGAATGTGGAGGGGCTCAGCATTCTTTTTCTTTGTTTGGGGGGTAATGAGGATTGAACCCAGGACCTTGAACATACTAGGCAAGTGCTCTACCACTGAGGTACATCCCCAGCTCTTGCATTTATTAACAGACTAGCCTTTGGATTTTTTCTCTTTAGCGGCATATCCAAAACCTAGCATTCAAGGGAGAGAGAGATTGCTTACTTTTCTGCTTTCCTAGCCAGCCTTACATTTGTCATTATTATTAATGGAGGTTTCTTCAGGCTACTGGAACTTGATTTAGAGTGAATCATTGCTATGGATTCTTTTTCCTGTATATTTCTTGCATATGATCTGTGGAAATGAGAGCTATTGTGTCTTATGCTACATGGTATTTTTAAGTCTCTTAGATTTTTTTTAATTCATTTTAAAAAATAACACATTATTTTAAAAATACATTATAATATTTTTTACATATAAAGAAAAATGTAAAAGTGTCCTGTAAAGTTCTCACTGAAATGATCCCTATTTCTGGTAATAGTTTTGAAAATATAAAAACAACTTTTCCATTATTTTCTCCCTGTCCTAGTCTCGCCAATGTTTCTTTGTAATTTCCTCCAGAAAAAATATTTTTATTCATACCTATTTATCCTTTTAATTTTTAAAATATGAGTGGCCATACCATTAACAGGCTCCTTTAAAAAAAACCCTCAGTGATGTATCTCGGATACATTTTCATATTAACACGTAACAGATTTACCTTAACTTCCTTAATGTTTGTAGGACTCCTGATTGGGATATCCCAGTGTTAACTAGTCCTCACTCTTTGGTTCCAGATTTCTGCTATTAGAACAGCACTGTAGTGGATATCTCTGTGTGTATTTTAGTGTTAATTTTTCTGCAGTTTTTCTCCTTTAGGTAATTTCAGTCATTCCTAAACATCATGAAAGAATAGTGTAGTGTCATGCACTCCCACATTCCATCATTCAGGTCTAGTGCCTGTCCAGTCTCCCCTCCCAGGCTCATCCACCCACTCCCCTAGCAGCACATATTTAAAATGGATCTAGGATGTCTGTTCTTACCTGGGTCTGTGCATGTCTTCATATGCGTTTACTAAGTTGGGACTCTTTCATACATAATTACTGCACCATCATCACACCCGAGATATTACTGTAGCTCCTGAATTTCTAGCCAGTATTCCCATTTCCCCAGCTGCTGACCACTTTCTGAAACATTTAATCTGATAAGAAGCCAGGGGATTTTGTTGAGTGCTAGGTAAGAGGTAAAGCCAATGACTGCTGGGAGACACTCAAAGGGAGAGACACGAATCCCAGGTCTGCCAAGACAGATTGGGGGTGACTGTAAATAACAAGCAGAAAATGCATTCTATGTCAAGACTGACAATCCTGTCTCGGCTGGAGGTAGATGGACGCTATTCAAAGCCCTGTGCTTTAGAGAGACTGTCTGAAGGCAAAGAGGAGGCTGAAAAGAGGGACTTGATCCAGGTCAGCCTGAGGAACAGCCTGGGCCAGTGAGGAAAGACCTGCCAGGACGGCCACCCCAGTATCCATTGGGTATCCAACCATGTTGTTGTACAATGAGAAGTTGCCCCTCCTCCATCAAGAGTGGCTCTGTTCCAGCTGGAAACCCTGGTGGCCCAGTGGCTATGTGTATGGATGTGACGCTGCTGATTTCTCCACTTATCTTGAAAAACATTTGAGTCCAGCCATAGGATTAACATCAGTAATGGGATTTCTAGACAGAGGGTGGTTGAAGGCACCCTGCCCTCAGAGAGATTTGTTCCTACCAGCTGTGAGGAGTGTGCCTGCTTCCCCAGTGTAGGTCTTATAGAAGTAAAATAAAGAAAATCTATTCTAATAGAAATAAAATATAAAACAACGAGGAATACATTTGATAAATATGTAATATCCATGTGAAGAAAACTTTAATATGCTCCTGAGGGACCCAGTGGAAGACTTGAATAAATCAAAGTTATGCCATGTTCTCAGATAGGAGTGCTCAGCATGGTGAAAAATATTCATTCTCGCTCAGTTAAGCTATAATTTGAATATGATCTAATAAATATCTCAGCATTTGGGAGGAAGAGATGAGGGAATTTGATGAGCTGATTTGTAAAAACCATTTGGAAAAACAAATTAGACAAGAAAATTCAAAAAGTAAGTAGAAAGAGTCAAACAGCCTATCCAGATACAAAAATATATCGTGGAACTAACGTTGTTAAAAACAGTGCTATTAACACATAAATCATATATTTCAGTCTAAACTTAAATATATTAATACATGATAAAAGTTACATTTCAAATCAGTGGAAAAAATCTGTAATCTCTGGGGGATGTTGAATTCAAGCCTGACACAAGAGAGATTCCAAAAATATTCAAGATGTGCGTATAAAAAATATGTTCAAAATTGTTTTGTAGTCCCAGCTCTTTGTGCTGTGACATACATTTCAAAGCCATTGAGGACAGACAGGATTGATAAATTCAACTTTGTAAAAATTCATGGCAAAATCTACTTCATACGAAGTCAAAAGACAAGCAACAAATTGGGAAAAGTAACTGGTAGCAGAAGAACTAAATTGCCTAATATATAAAGAGTTCCTATAAACCAACATAAAAAGGGCCAATGATCCAATAGAAAACTCAGTAAATTATGCAGAGTTCACAAAAAAGGAAACACAGCATTTGAATATGAAATGTTTAATAAGATAAAATACTAACACCTAATAGAAATATAAATTGCTACCTCACAAGGGCCATATTTTTAAAATATGAGGTTATCCAGGTATGAGAAAAAAATATCATTGATGGGAGGAAAACCTGTACTACTTTATAGAGGAGAGATCACAATCTAACCCAGCAATTCCACATCTAGGAATGTATTGTTTAAATGTGCTATACATACACATGTGTGAAACCAGGTAGGAATGATATTTTTCATTAAAGTTTGATATTTTTAATTAAAGCCAAAATTTGTATAATCAATTATATGCCATGCAGTGGAACTGTTGAAAAATGAATGAGGAAGAGCTCTGTTAGTGCTATGGAATGGTTTGTAAGAAAAGGACATTGTTAACTGATAAAAATCCAGGTATGTGGTGTTATACTGCCGTATGTGTATAAGAAGGGGGAGGTATACAAGCCTATTTGCTTGTGTATGAATTCAGCAATTACCAGCATACATACAAAAATAGATAATCGTTGTCTCTAGAGAAAAAATTGGAAGGCAAAGGATAGGCTGGGATGTAGGCCTTTTACTTCATACACATTTGTATCATTGGACTTTTAAACCTGTGCTTCTTGCTGGGGATTTAGCTCAGTGGCACTGCACCTGCCTTGCAAGTCCAGGGTCCAGAGTTTGATCCCCGGCACCACAAAACCTGCAGTTCTCAAAGATAAGAAATCTAAATTTAAAAATAAGTTCAAGCTGGGAATTTAGCTCAGTGGCACTGTGCCTGCCTTGCAAGTGCAAGGTCCTGAGTTTGATCCCTGGTACTCCCTAAAATAAAAAATAATAAAAATAAGTTCAATAGGTAAAAAATACTATTTGTTTTGATGTGTGTTGTTCTGTTGAGTGTCTTTTCAAATAAAGAAATAAAGATTAGCCTGCATTTTTAGACACTTGCCTCTCCATACATTTTGAAGGTGGAATTGAAGGATAGTGGTTTCTTTGGAAATTAATCTCTCTTTTGTCTTACAAAAGTGTCATAGATACTTTGCTACACTTTGGTTTTTGACCTTCTTATGCTGTTTTTTTGCCACCTAGGACTTTTATATTTGTGTATAATCTTTTTCTTCTTTTCCCTCCTTCCCTTCCTGGGGGTGGAAATGACTCTTCTGTCGCGGTCCCTGAGAAGACTGGCTACAGCTGGAAGGCATCCAGTTATTGATGCCTCTGGATAAGTTGGAAGATGGTAGGCTGCTTATGAACTCTCCGAAGGCAGGAAAGGCAGGAATAAATACATATTTAGCAAGAAGTGCACCAGAAGGTCCTCCCCAAGGACAAGGCAGGAGGGACTTGGGTGGCATTCCGAGGTGATAATGGTGCGTCTCTGATGTCCTCTCTTCTCTCTCTCCACTCCCAGCGGAGCTCCCCAGGTCCTCAGCAGTGAGGCTGGCCTCCCTGCGGGACTTGCCGGCGCAGCTGCAGGAGCTGTACCAGCAGGGCTTCTCCCTGGCCGCCTTGCACCCCTTCGTGCAGCCCACGCACAAGCTGGAGAAGACGCCCCTCGAGCACATCTTCAGGGCCATCTTGGTGAAGAAAACTGACAGGTAAGGACTGTGTGCATTGGACGATGGCTAAAGTGTGTTGAATGGAGAAGTAAGGAGATGGGGATGAATTTGAGTGCTGATCCCAGAGCGTCTGCCCTCTGACAGGTAAGGCAACAGGTTAGAGTTTCCACAGCTTCCTGGGATGGAAAGCAAATGCCGTACCCAACTGCAAGTAGAGAGGTCTATTTTATATCTACTCCTTTAATTTATTGGATTAAACTCAGGTAGAAAAATGTGACCCCTGAAGAGGTGTACTTCCTGAATGATGCAGCTAGTAAAAGTATAATAATACTATTAATCTGAAAAGCACAGCTGGAAAACTCTATGATTTTATTAAAGGCTATATACAAACTTAATATCTTCCCCCAAGTCTAGAAATACTTTAAAAAAATTGAACTCAGCTATAAAGTTTTCTCAGTCACCTGAGAAGGAAAAAAACCCCACCCAAATAAAATATTGTCATTGGTTTTGTCTTGATTTTGATTTGTAGAGTGCTTGCTCTTATATTTTGATTGGACATAATTATGAAAAGAGGTGGAATTGGTCTTTCAAAAAGAGCAGTATTAATTTTCAGTGGTTGTTTTGGAATGATGAGGATGGAATGGAGAGCACAGTATGTTTTTGCTGCTTTTCGTAAAAGTAAATACTGGAATGAACTCCGGGAAAGGAAAACAGCATGTCCTTTGGCCAGCTCCCATGGAAGGAAGGACAACATGGACTCTATTTTAGAGTACAGTGTGACTGCTGATCTTTCTGTCTTTGTAAAAGTCGCTTTGTGGCAAGACAGTGACAGCTGTGTGGCATGAGGTTGCGTGAGAAAGACGGACTTTTCTTTATTTTTTCATGGCTGATTGGAGTCTGAGGCGCTTAGTCCATGTCAGCACATGTGAGGATTTGAAGTAAAAGGTGATGCATGTCTTTGTGGAGGGCCCAATCAGTTTTCTGTAGGTGAAGCTGCTCAGTGCCTGCATTTTTTGCGTATTGGTTTCTTTATGTCAGGTGGCATGCACCAATCTGTGTGTTGATCACAAGGGGAAATGATTGGGGGCCGTAGTGGTTTATGTTGCTGACACACAGGGGATGTGTAATGACTACAGCGCACAGTTACTGAGCACTGATTGTATGGCAGTATTATTCCATCGTTATCATCAGCCAATGAAATACGTGCTGTTTTTATTTCCATTTTAAAGGAGAGGGAACTGAGGCACAGATGTTACTTGTGCAGGTCATACAGGTGGCAGCAAGCAGAGCTCTGACCGGCTCCCAGGAAGCCTTACTCTAGTACCCGTGCAGACACCCCTTTAAGAAAAAGGTGAGGGAGAGCATCTTTGGTGTTAGGTGAGGTCAAACATTACTCAACCTGTCTCCCATTTTACAACTTAGCGGTGCTTGAATAAAACAATTTTGAACAGGAAAGAGAAGAAAACTGGCTTGCTGTATGGATCACGTAAGGCATGCACTAGGCACCAGTGATTCCCTTTCTTAGACCAGTCTTTTGGCCTTCGTGTTGAGAGGAGACAAGTCCACTAAGCTCAGGTCACAGGAACATCCTTCAGTGTGACTGCTAAAGGAGATGTTGTTGGGACCAGTGTGGGCATGAAGTCAGCACATATAATACATTGACTCAAAATGTGAAGCCGGGGCCAGGGATTTAGCTCAGTGAGTTTGCGGCCTGCTGCGCAAGCGCAAGGATCCGAGTTTGATCCCCAATACCAAAAAAAAAAAAAAAAAAAATGTGAAGCTATTTGTCTTCCCCTGTGTTGTGAGGAGCTCTCTCAAACTGTGATGGGCCTGTGGATCCTGGGTGTATTGTTTAAGAGCAGAGTCTGACTCAGAAGGTCTGGGTAAGGCCTGCATCTCCAGCACATTCACAGAAGATGCTGACACTGGGTCCAAGGACCACACTTCTGAATAGCAAGGTGTAGAGGACCCGACTGTTTCTTGTCTGGCTCCAGGCTTGGCACTAAGCAACATTATTGAGGATTACATTCTACTCCCAGGGAGCACTTTCAGTACTGGGGAAAGTGAGAAAGGTTGTAGGGCTCTTTGCCGGAGGGCTTGTGTTCCAGGCTGTACTTGGCTCCTAGTAAAGGGTGTGATCTAGGGGCACATCAGAGGGTTTTTCTGGGCTTCCCGTTCTCTAGTTGGTACAGTGATGGGTTTGGTGCCACTTGGTTCTTATGGGGTGAGATGAGCAGGTGAGGAAGCAGCTGTCTAGGAACAAGAACCCCAGCTTTGGGGTCCATTGCAAGCCAGCTGTGGAGCTGGGGTCAGGGGGCTAAATTGACATTCTTCAGTTAAACTGAAGACAAAGCATGAACTAGCGAACTGACTTCCAGAAGATAAAAATGGGTAAGAAAAATGAGAAAGGAGGATTTCAGGATAAGGAAGATGGCAGTCTCTGTGGGTTTTTAAAAAAATTTATGGGTATACTTTAGATATGCATAATGATCACATTTAGGGACTTTGTAGCTGTACATAATATACCTTGATAATTCTTTTTTCCCCAACTCCCTCCCCTCCCTCCATCCTCTCTTCCCATTCCATTTTCAAAAGCTTTCTATTTTTTTCCTTCTATTCTTTTTTCTTTCCTTTCCCCCTCCACCCTCCCTTGTTCTCCTTCCCATTTGAACATTTTTCCCATTTTCCAGTATCTATTAAACATTTTGATGCTTATTTACCCTTTTAGTTTCTCATACCAGAGAAACAGTGCAGTATTTAAACATGTGTGTCCAATTTGTTTCACTTAAGAGTATGGTCTCAAGGCGCATCCATTTACCTAGAAATGTCACAAGTTTGTCCTTCTTTATGGCAGACTCGTACTCCATTGTATGAAAAAATAAAGCCACATCTTCATTATCCATACATCCATTGATGAGCATTTGGGCTGTTGCCAATATTTAGCTATTACACATTGTGGTGCTATAAACGTGGGTGTACCTGTATCGCTATGGTATGTTGCTTTTAAGCCTTTTGGGAAAATACTAAGAAGGGAGACAGCTGAGTCAAATGGAACCTCTAGTTTTAGTGTTTTGAGGACTCTCCACACTGATTACCACAGTGTTTGCACCAGTCTGCAGTCCCCCAGCAGTGGAGCAGAGTTCCTTTTTCCTCATGTTCCCACCAGCATTTGTTATTAGTTGATTTCTTGCTAATAGCCATTTTTTCTGGAGTGAGATAGAATCTCAGTGTTTTAATTTGCATCTTTTGAATGACCAGTGATGTTGAACGTTTTTTCATATATTTAGTTGCCCTCTGTACTGCTTTGTCTGAGAAGTGTCTGTTCATTTCAGGTGCCCATTTTTAATTGAGTCTTTAAATTTGGGGGTCTGATTTTTTTTTTGTACTGGGGATCCAACTTGGGTCCTTGCACTTGTGCAGCAGGCAGCAAAACCACTGAGCTAAATCCCTGGCCCTGGGGGTCTGATTTTTAAAAATTATTTATATATTCTAGATATTAGGTCTTTGCAGAGCAGATGGTAAAAATTTTTCCCACACTGTGTTGTCTCTTCACACTGATGGTGGTTTCTTTTGCTATACAAAAGCTTTTTAACAAAATGAGATCCTATTTGTTGATTCTTTGTAATATTTCCTGTGCAACTGGGGTTTTATTCATAGTCTTTGCCTATACCTATGTCTTCAAGAGTTTTATCTATTCTGTCTTCCAGCAGATTTAGTTTCTCTTTCAGTATTTAGATCTCTGATCCATTTTGATTTTAGTTTACTGCATGGTGAGAGAGATGGGTCTAGCTTTAATCTTCAGCACGTGGAAAGCCAGTGTTTCCAGCACTGAGTTAGTAAGTAACCTCTTATTAAAGAAGCTATCTTTCTTCTAGTAAAGGTGTTTGGCCCCTTTGTCAAAGATAAGATGGTTAGTGCTGCTTCAGCAGCCCATATACTAAAATTGGAAAGATGAATGACTGAGTTTGTTTGGAGTTGTTTCTGCAACTTCTAATCCATTCCATGGATTCTTGGGTCTGTTTGACAGTACCATGCTGATTTTATCACGGTAGCTTTGTAGTATAATTTCAAGTCAGGGATTGTAATGCCCTCTGCCTTGCCTTTGTTGCACAGAACTGCTTTTGCTATTCTAGGTCTCTTCTGGTTCCAAATGAATTTTAGGATTGTTTTCTCTAATTCTGTGAGATACGCTATTGGTATTTTGATAGGGATTGCATTAAATCTATATAACAGTTTTGGAAGTATGGTCATTTTCACTATATTGGTTCTTCCTACCCAAGAACAAGAGATATCTTTTTATTTTCTGATATCCTCTACGATCTCCTTTTTCAGAGTACTGACCTTTCACCGTAAAGATCTTTTACTTCCTTCATTACATTGATACCTTAGGATTTTATTTTTTATGCTATTGTGAAAGGTGTGGTTTCCTTAATTTCTCAGTGAGTTTGTTATTTTTGTATGCTATTAATTTTTGAGTGTTAACTTTGTATCCAGCTACATTACTGAATTTGATTATTAAATATAGATGTCTTTTGGTGGAGTTTTGGGGGCCTTCTATGTAGAGTATCATGACATATGCAGATAATGATAATTTAATGTCTTTCTTTCCTATCCTTATCCTTTTTGTTTCTTTTTCTTAATTAATTTCTTTAGCTAATGTTCCAGAACTATTGAATAGAAGTGTTGATAGTGGAAGTCCTTGACTTGTTCCTGATTTTAGAGTGAAAGCGTTCAGTTTTTGACCACTTGGTATGCTGTTGGTTTGTCATAAATGGCTTTTATCAGATTGAGATAAAGGACATCTATTCCAATTTTCTGTAGGGTTTTTATCATGAATGGGTGTTGGACTTTGTCAAATGCTTTTTCTGCAGCTAGTGAGATGATTGTATGGTTTTTGTCCTTGGTTGTATTAATATGGTTTATTACATTCATTGATTTGTATATGTTGAACCAATCTGCATCCCTGGGATGAATCCTACATGGTCATGATGTGTAATCTTCTTGATGATTTGCTGGATTCTGTTTGCCAGGATCTTACT